TTTTTTTTTTTTTTATTCTTTATTTTTTTGGTTGCTAGATCTTGCCAAAGATCTTTTATCCCGGCTTGGCTTTGAGCTGACCTGCTAGAAAGAACGACATCAGAGCTTTTTAATGCTAATCTTCCTACCATGATAATCGAAAAGATGCAGCTGCAAAGTAAACATGCAGCACAAGCACTTCTTACACAACTGTTTATTTGCTTTTTACTGGTGTTGTGCTTGTGGCTTTGTGACCACCTGCTAGTGTGTAATCATCTCAGTGAGGATTCTGTTTGACATGGACTTACAGTAGCTGAACAGACTAAGATTTTATTTTAAACAGTCCTGTATCAACAGTTACAGATGTATGCATTGATCCAAGGAGATTAAAGCTGATTTATTAGAATTCCCAAAGTCATATGGACAATGCCTCTTTCATAGACTTCCAGACAATGCATAACCAATACCATGTTAAGCTTTATTATTTATTATATTATTACCTCTACGCTCAAAATAAAAGCATATTTATGGTAGTCTTCCCATGTTTGGTGATGCTGTATCATGGGAATGTACTTCTGTACCCGTTATTTATAGATTGTTATATTTATAAGGGACCCGGCTTTTATGCAGCTTAGATTGAAAATACCTTTGCAAGAGATACAGTACCATGTTATAGCTAAAGCTTATCTCTCGAAGGAGCAAAAATTCATAACTTGTCTTTTTAAGGTAGCAGACACTTCCCTATGAAAGTTTTACAGATTAGTGTTTCATTTTTTTCACATTTCAAAATGATTCTATTTCATTGATGTCACATGGATACAAGCGCCATTATTAATTAATTATCAACGATTCATTTACAATAATAAACAAGCTACGTTGTGCTTTTTAGTCATTTGAAAATAGTCTGTTGTTCTCTGGTCATTCTTTATAGAATTTAAATTTATCTGCATCCCAATCCTTGGTTGTGTCCAATTTTAGCACTGGTTCGAATTCCGCTGCAACAGCAGCTTATCAAACTTTTTTTCTACATAACACCTTAGCTCAGCCAATATCACTGTGTTCTCAGTCAGAAAAATAGACA